GGCCTTAGGGGGGCCGAGGGGCCTAGGGGGCCGAGAGGCCAAAGTAGGGGCCGGGGGGCCTAGGGGGCCGAGGGGCCAAACAAGGGGCCAAAGTAGGGGCCGGGGGGGGGGGCCTTGGGGGGGCCGAGGGGCCTAGGGGCCGCGGGGCCAAACAAGGGGCCGAGGGGCCAAGGGGGCCGAGGGGCCAAACAGGTACAGGGCCGGGCGCTGGGCAGGTACAGGGCCGGGCACGAGGCTAGGTACGGGCCGAGCGACGGGCTAGGTACAGGCCGAGCGACGGGCTAGGTACGGGCCGGGCGCAGGCAGGAGACGAGGCCGGGCGCGGGCTAGGTACGGGCCGGGCGACGGGCTAGGTACGTGCCGGGCGCGGGCGTCGAAGTTGGCGGGGCCAGCTGGGCCGAGGCGACGGGCTAGGTACGGGCCGGGCGACTGGCTTCGAAGTTGACGGGGCCAGCGGGGCCGAGGCGACGGGCTAGGTACGGGCCGGGCGACGGGTTAGGTACGGGCCGGGCGACGGGCTAGGTACTGGCCGGGCGACGGGCTAGGTACTGGCCGGGCGACGGGCTAGGTGCGGGCCTGGCGCGGGCGACGAAGTTGACGGGGCCAGTGGGGCCGAGGTGTCGGGCTACGTACGGGCCGGGCAACGGGCTAGGTACGAGCCGGGCGACAAGCTAGGTACGGGCCGGGCGCGGGCGACGAAGACGGCGGGGCCAGCGGGGCCGAGGCGACGGGCTACGTACGGGCCTGGCGACGAGCTAGGTACGGGCCGGGCACGGGCGACGAAGACGGCGGGGCCAGCGGGGTCGAGGCGACGGGCTACGTACGGGCCTGGCGACAAGCTAGGTACGGGCCGGGCTTGGGCGACGAAGACGGCGGGGCCAGCGGGGCCGAGGCGACGGGCTACGTACGAACCGGGCGCGGGCGACAAAGTCGAAGGGGCCAGCGGGGCCGAGGCGACGAGCTAGGTACGGGCCGGGCGACGGGCTAGGTACGGGCCGGGCGCGGGCGACAAAGTCGACGGGCTAGGTACGGGTAGTGCAGTAGGTGGTGGGCCCATTGAGACTAGGTCCTAAGACTTAGTTGCTCTTAATACCATGTTAGAATCCTTAGGTGAGAATGATTGACTAGGAAACAAGGAAGGGTACAAGTAGAATGTCGAGAGAATTCTGTACCCCCTAAGGCTAAACCCACTATAGCCTAGACAAATGTAAACACATGAACTAAGCCTAGATATAACTAAGCATATATGTTTGACACTCACTACTGAGGGAACTGTTACTGCAGCGGTATTACTACTGGCCGGAGCTGTTGACCGACGTACATCACCACGTGGGCGCGTGTCCTATGTGTCAGGTGATGAAGAGCTCGCGAAAGAGAATTGCAGCCGATTCCACCACCCGAGCGCGCCTGGCAGCAAGTTACCATGGATTTCGTCACGGGGTTACCTTCGAACCCTGGGGGGTAACGACGCGGTTATGGTCGTCGTTGACAGACTGACGAAAATTGCTCACTTCGTTGCGTGCAAGAAATCTATCTCAGCCGAAGAAACCGCTCGCCTGTTCATCGCAGCCGACGTTCGACTGCACGGGATACCAGCCGTGATAATCATCGACCGCGACACGAAGTTTACCAGCAACTTCTGGAAGAACCTCTGGGAGCAGTTCGGGACCAGGCTACAGTTCAGTTCATCGTACCACCCCGAGACCGACGGTCAAACGGAGCGGACCAATCAGACGATGGAGCAGTTGATTCGGGCCACGTGCGACGACCCGACAACTTGGGAGCAGCAGCTGCCGCTCATCGAGTTCGCCTACAACAACGCCACGTCAGCGACGACGCAGCAGTCTCCGTTTTACCTGAACTACAGGCAAAACCCAACAATGCCCATGACGCCGAGTCTGGACAACCCAACGCCACGAGCACAGCAATTTGCCGAGATTCTGCAAGCTGCCCGCACCAGAGCCGCAGAAGCAATTAAAAAACCCAATGTCGTCGCTAAACGCAACGCTGACCGCCACCGCCGCCCAGTCACGTACCAGTCACGGGATTACGTACTGCTCGACACACTGAACTTAAGACTGCCCGTCGTACCGAAATTACGACCGCGCTAGTGTGGACCATTTCAAAACAACCACATGATCACCCCAGTTACCGCCCACTTACTGTTGCCGACAGACTGGTACATCAGCCCATCATTCCATGTTAGCCTGCTTCGCCCTTACATCCCAAGCATGAGCCAACTGCCTCGTCACCGCCCGCCATCCATGACTCGCCCTGCATTGGAGCCGATCATCGAGCCCGGAAAAATCTGAGCCATCGGATTCGCCACCGCACAGGCATCAAGAGGATCGAGTTCCTCGTTCGCTGGAAGGACCGTACGCCAACTGAGGTTAGCTGGGTGTCCCTGGCCAACATCGAAAACCACCATGCCTTGCAAGTGTACATGAGGAGCCGGGGTTTCCGCGATATACACGTACTCGCGTAGCGGAGGGGGCTTCTTGACGGGAGGGGGGGGGGGGGGGGGGGGGGGTGGGTAGTGTAAGGAATTTTCTCTCTATTCCTTACCGCGACCGTCCACATCGTGTACAGCAGCAGCCGACGTTCGCCCGTTACTGCTAACGGGGCTTCGCCAACTTCGCGCGCACTGTTTCACCAAACCTTGCACTGCTGGAGCAGCCGAGTCGGCCTACGCTTCGGGACTAGCCCGAACCTCGCGCCAGCGTAGCACTAGCTAGCTCGCACGCACCGCGTTACCGTTTGCACATTTTCGCATATAAGTATTCGCTCATGCCTTCGCTCATATTTTGTACTCATTGAACACTCTAGTGCAATCCTCGCTACCTCGATTCATTGCACCCGTAACACTTGTGAACAACTTTAAACCCTGACAAAACAAAATGGAGTTCAACATCTTATCAAAGAAGTTCAAACCAGTATATTGAGCGTAGTTCACCTCTACAACGATCATGGCAAAATGATGACGAGCTTTAAAGTGAAAATAGTATCACCTTTAATGTGAAGCTGGTGCAGAGTGGTGATTTCCATTACTGATTATTGGAACTTAAATGGTACATCCACTTTGAGTGACAAGCTGATGAATCCTGTACCGTATTGATGCATTAGAGAAATGCTAGTATGGTTGTTGCTACCAGTTTCAACTCTGTATGCGTGTTGTTTAGCCACTGGTGAAAAATGTCATGACTCCAAGAGTATCTAGCATGTAGGATGAGGCACTGTTTAGCACACTGGTAGAAAGCTTCACGAACCCAATCAATAAAAGCTCCTGGAAAGAAAAACCAAAGCGCCGTTAGTCTTTGACAGGCCCCACGATATCAGGGTAAAACATCTTGATTACCCTGATTTCAGGATAGTGTCAGGAGTTTTCCCTGCAATTTCAGGATGATGGTATATTTTACCCTGTGACTTCAGGATAATTTTCGTGTTGAGCCCTGAAATTTCAGGAAGTCCGTGAGATTTTGCCCTGAAGCATCAGGACGAAGGTCTCCGCTAGGCGCCTCGCGAGTGGCACGACACACTGAGGACGACGCTTGCGGCTCTTGGGTTTGCTCCCTCGACTGCTGACTCGTCGCTGCGCACCGACACTTCGCTTCCGCCGTTCTACGTCCTCGTGTACGTCGACGACTTGGTCTTTGCCACTGCTGACACTGAGGCACTGGCCCTTGTGAAGTCGGAGCTGCAGACGAGACACACCTGCACTGACCTGGGTGAGCTGCACAGCTATCTTGGCTTGCAGATCACCCGGGACAGAGCACGGCACATCATCACCCTGACTCAGTCACACATGGTGCAGCAGGTCCTTCAGCGCTTCGGCTTCTGGTAATCCTCACCACAGTCCACTCCTCTGCCTACCGGTCACTCGCTCTCAGCTCCACCTTCGGACGAGTCTGTAGAGCCGAGTGGCCCGTATCCAGAGCTTGTGGGCTGCCTCATGTACCTGATGACCTGCACTCGACCTGACCTTGCCTACCCTCTTAGCATCCTGGCACGCTACGTTGCGCCCGGGAGACACCGACCTGAGCACTGGGAGGCCGCTAAGAGGGTGTTGCGCTACTTGTGCAGTACGTCGGGCATAGGGCTCGTGCTTGGAGGACGGGGTCCAGTTGTCCTTACTGGACACGCAGACACTTCTTGGGTTGACGACTTGGCTACTCCGCGGTCGTCACATGGTTACACTTTCAGCCTTGGCTCCGGCTCTGTTTCTTGGCGGTCTACCCGCTCGTCTTCTGTTCTCAGTTCCAGTTGTGAGGCTGAGATCTACGCAGGGGCCATGGCTGCACAGGAGTTACGCTGGCTCACCTACCTGCTGACAGACTTGGGAGAGCGGCCTCGTTCTTCTCCAGTTCTGTACGTAGACAACAAGGCCATGATTGCCTTATGTCAGGAGCACAGACTGGAGCAGAGAACGAAGCACATTGCTCTGCGTTACTTCCTTGCTCGAGAGTTGCAGCAGCGTGGTCAGCTTCGTCTTGCTTAGATGGCCACTCGGGTCAACACTGCTGATATATTCACCAAAGCACTTCAGCCTGGTGACCATTAGCGTTTCTGTACTGTTTTAGGCATTGTGCCTACTTTGCCTCACTTACTATGTGACTTTGCTTGTACTGTGATCTATATATTACCTGCATGCTTTTACTTGCTAGGTTATGATCACTGTACTATTTCTTTTCTTTTATATAACTCTGCATGTGAACTGGCCGTGTGGCCATTTGCTTGTGCTCGGAATGTGTGGTGACTTCGTGATCCACCCTGAGCTTGCTTTGCTTTTCTTGACTTGTCTTGTGACCACTTGTTCTCCCCCACTTTGCCTATGGGGGTGTGTCAAAGTGTGATAATGCTTTTATTGTGAAAGCTGTAATGGGGTAGCGCAGAAGGGGTACAACCCTATTAGGGTTAGTACTTGTACCAACTTTCTGCTCAATGCATTCATTCTCGTTCAGTATTCTGACACATCTCATCTCATCACATAAGACATAGACCAATCAGTCCTCCATACACTGTGTACCACACGTGTTGTGTGTGAAGTGAAGGCAGCCTTGAGGCATTGTGCGACTGATCTCATGCCCCACGGGTGGGAATAATTCACAGCATGAGTCGGCTGGGCGGGGGCAGGTTGGGCAGGGAGGCAGTGGTGTTGGAATGGGGGAGAGCACATGTGGAGCTACCACAATGGATGGCCCCACCGAACCCACTCGTCTCACATGCACGGGAACCAGCCGACCACCGCCATCCACCTGCACTACCAACTCCCACTGGTGACGTGTCATGACAACTGACTCCTGCTCGCCCTTCTCCTTCCCACCCGCCTCTCCTCTCGTCTCTCTGTTGCTGCTCTTATCCACCTTCTCCTTCCCTGCTTCCTCCTCTCCCCTCGCCTTTTCTGCTTCTCCTGATCTTCCATCCTCGTTTGAAGCAGTCTCCTTATTGAGCGCCATGGCAGCATGGACTGGCCGACGCCCTGCACGCACGGTTGCACCCAGGTGCCGAGGAATGCGAAGCACCCGGCCAGCAAAAGCACTGGCCTTCACCAGCGCTGGTCCCTCAGAACATGCGGGACAGACCGTCAGAGGGACCACCACCACCGTTCGTGCCTTGGCACGACTTATTTATTTGTAGGTGTATGAGTGGGATTGGTAAAGGAACGAACCCACTTGGGCAGCCTCAGACGAATGTCACTCCAAACAGCAGACACCCACGGCACACCACTCGCAAAGTGCACCTGCACGAAAAAATCAAGTAACCAAACCCTCAAAATCCGTCAGTCACCACACAAGCATAAACACAAAACATTTACCCACAAAAGAGCAACTTCTCGTGAGTGACATGCCTACTCACCGGTTGGTACCCATCTGCGTGCAGCTCGTACTTGGGCGAGTACACATGCACCCGGGTGGTGGCTCCAAAGCGAAGCACTGGCAGATCCGTGGCAGCACCAGAGCCCGTTGCTCCCTTTCCTGATGCTTCATGATCGGCAGTTGCCTGATGCTGGGCTGTTGCCTCATGCGAGGTGCTGGTGTTGCTGCTGGTGTTGCTGCTGGTGCTGGCGCTAGTGTTGGCGTGATGAGGGAGGGGGGGCGGGCCAGAGCCGGTTTGAGGGTGGTAGAGGGAGGTGAGGGGGAGGCGGTGGTGGGTCCATGCGAGGATGGAGCCCCTGAGGTTGGCCGCTTGCATGCTGTGGTGCGAGCGCAGCATGCGGGCATAGTTGCCGCTGCGATAGCCTATGGTGCTGGGAGGGGCAGAGAAAGGAGAGGAGAGAGAGAGGAGGAAGGGGGGATGGGGACCTTAGGTTGGCTGCGTGCATCCTGTGGTGCGAGCGCAGCATGCGGGCGTAGTCGCCACTGCGATAGCCTATGGTGCTCGGAGGGACGTGTGGGGATGAGGACGACAGGCAAGGGAGTGGGAGAGACGAGGGGAGAGAGGAAGGAAGAGGGCTATCGGGAGAGGAGCGGAGCTAGAGGGAAGGGTGAATAGAGCTGGAGAGGTTGACTGTATGCATGGTGTGGGGATGGAGGAGGAATGAGTGGGCAAAGGAAGAAATATGAGATAAGCGAGATATGGAACACCGGTTCCCATGACACCTTCTCTCCCACAGCTCCTCCCTTCCAACCTGACCACTCCGCTCTTCCCTAGCTACTCTTCACCACCCACCCTAGACCGCCCTGGACCCCTCTGCATCCCACCTTCTCACCAGTAGCACACGACTTGGTGGTCGCTGAATCGTCCCATCTGCCGCTCAAAGTCGCTCTGCTTCAGTGTGCCGCCCGGAATCATCGACACTGCCACCTCCTCCTCTGTGCGCGTATCCACCACCACCACCCGCCGCCTGCCCCGCCCACTCCCTCCCCCCACTTCTACTCCTCCTCCCTCTCCACTCACGCCCCCTCCCCACATTCCCCCTCTCCCCTCTTCCCCCCAGCCCCTCCCCCATCCGCCTTCCCGTTCGTTCCCAACCCCTCTCCCCCACCCCCTGCCTGTTGGGCCAGCAGCAGCCGGTGCAGCTCAGTCACACTCATCTCAGGCACCTGGTGGGGGGATGGGGGGAGGGAGGGGGGAGAAAAGAGGGAGGGGGGAGAAAAGAGGGAGGGGGGAGCTGGTGAGGAGGCGGCAGCAGCTGGTGCGGCTCAGTCACACTCATCTCAGGCACCTGGCGGAGAGAGAAGGAAGAAGGGGGAGAGGGGGGAGAGGGGAATGGGGGGGAACAATTGAGAGGGTAATTATAGCAGCTGATGCGGCTCAGTAACGACCATCTCAGGCACCTGGTGCAAGGATGAAACTTCATCGTTTAAGAACGTATCGTTCATCCGATCGGACACATCACAGAGCTTCTCCTTGTCACCCGGTTCAGCACTTACGTCTTTAAACAACTTCTCCCGCATCCGATCGTATATCTCCTATAGCTTATCCGTATGAACCGGCTCGAAGGTCACGCATTTAAACAGCTTACGTCGGTAAACAGCTTACGTCGGTAAACAGCTTACGTCGGTAAACAGCTTACGTCGGTAAACAGCTTACGTCGGTAAACAGCTTACGTCGGTAAACAGCTTACGTCGGTAAACAGCTTTCGTCGGTAAACAGCTTACGTCGGTAAACAGCTTACGTCGGTAAACAGCTTACGTCGGTAAACAGCTTACGTCGGTAAACAGCTTACGTCGGTAAACAGCTTACGTCGGTAAACAGCTTACGTCGGTAAACAGCTTACGTCGGTAAACAGCTTACGTCGGTAAACAGCTTACGTCGGTAAACAGCTTACGTCGGTAAACAGCTTACGTCGGTAAACAGCTTACGTCGGTAAACAGCTTACGTCGGTAAACAGCTTGTCCCTCATCCGATCGTACATCTCCCATAGCTTCTGCCGCCGCTGCTCCCCGCCCTGATTCGGCGCTCCCTCGCCCGCCGCGACCGCTGCGACGTCGGGCGACTCCTCGCTGCGACGCGAACCTTCGCACGCCATGCGACGCGTGCGACGTCGCAGGGAGGGGGAACTCGCGTTAATGAAACGGGGGAGGACCGACGACAAAGGGAGGCGAATGTGGTGGCGCGATGAGGAGGAGGAGGTGGGACGGGGTATGGGACGGTAGCGGTATCCTTGAGAGAGAGTTGGCGGCGCGGTGAGATCTACTGGCATGGCTGAACATGAACCGCACCAAAAAGCTCATCGAGATTGCATCCCCTATCCGAAGTACCAAATTTGTGAATTCATACGCGTTACGTGGACATGTACAGAGGATATGCTGCACCTCTTTCCAGTCTGATAAAATGAAATAGCACATTCCCATGAGATGTTATCTATCATGTTTCTACAAATGGATAGATGTTAATCTGCACAAGCAAACATCAGGAAGAGCACCATAGACAGCAGAAGGGTAAAAATAACTCTGAATTACTATGACAATCCAGTATGGAGGCTAGTGGGCAAACTAGAGCAGCGTCAAGGCTAATTTAAACCAGAAACAAGCCTTCGAGAGAAATGCACTCCATCCCCTCTATTGCTCATATCCGCCTTGGGACCCACCGCCACCAGGGTAACCCGCTCCCTCCCCATACCTACCACCACCGTACCCACCCCCTCCTCCCCCATACCCACCGCCGCCACCACCACCGCTGTACCTCCCTCCTCCACCACCCCCATACCCACCACCACCGTATCCCCCCCTGCGGCCTCCCCCTCCCCCTCCGCCGCCCTCTGTCCTGTTGGAAGCATAGTCAACGCGCACTGTCCTTCCACTCAGTTCCTGCAAAGGTTGAAAGGTTACAAGGTGGGGTGGGGTGGAGTGTGTGAGTGTGTGAGAGTGTGTGGTGTGGAGGGCAGGGGTTTGGGTCTCTCGTACTCCCTCTCCTGTTTCCGACCTGCATCTGTCCTGCTTGAGCATAGTCAACGCCCACTGTCCTTCCACTCAGCTCCTGCGTAGCTTGCTGAGAGGTGACAAGGTGGAGTGGAAAACCGAGTGAATTCAAAGCGAAGGTTTGTGTTGGAGGGATTGTTTGGAAGGGCTGAGGAGGAAGGAGGTGGAGGGGGGATAGTGCCTTCATTAAACAAACTTGCCGTCTGCATTGTAACTCCAATCAGCTACGGCACGCTATGGCGGGAAAGGGAGTGGGAAGAGGATGCGACGAGGGCGGCAGGAGAGGGTTTGGGAAGGGGAAAGGGTTTGTGTGGTTCGGGTTGACAAGGAATGGGGAGGATACACGGTGTGGGTAGGGGAGAGTGTGCGTAACAGGAAGAAACTTAGGGTCCTCTCACTCAATTTTGTCAAAGATGATATGTAAAAGGAATTTTCGAAAACCTCGATAATACCCTAATATAGTGTCACACTTGGCCTATTTAGATTCGTCGATCTACTTCCCGCGGACAATGACTCACCTCGCCCTGAATTTCCCCCTAGCGTTGCCGTTAATCTCCACCTTGCCGAACCCCCACATGTTAATGCCATCTCCCTCACCTCGGAGGTAACCAACAACAGCCATCTCCCTCCTCTCCCCCTCACCTTGCCGTTGACGCCCTCCAGCGCGGTGGCAGCCTCCTCGTCCGACGCGAAGCTCACGAACCCGAACCCACGCGACCGACCCGTGAAGCGGTCCCGGATCACCTTGGCTGCAGATGTGAAAATGAGGGGGAGGAGCGCGGGGGGAGGAACGACGGGGAACGGGGACAAGGAGGTAAGATAAGGGACGGGGGACAGGGGACGGGGGACGGGGGAGGGGTATAAGCAGTGATTTCGGCAACAGAAGATAAACAAGTAGAAGAGGGAGCTGGGGTCACAGGGGGATAATAGAAGATGGTGGACGGCGGAGGAAGGATCGCGGAGAGCAGAGGGCGGAGAGCGGGGTGCGGAGGGAGGACGGCGGAAATGCAGCGGAGGGAGCGGGCGCACCTTCCTCGACGGTTCCGTAGGCAGAGAAAGCGTCCGCCAAGGCCTTCTCGTCGGCCTCCCACGCGAGCCCTGCTCAACCGATGGAACGGATCGCACGGATGGAATGAGAGACACATGCGTTGGGGTAAAGAGACCAACAAGAAGTTACAACGGAGCAGAAAACAGCGTATACGGCAAGGACAAACCGTCACAAATGCACGCGCATGTCTAATCAGTCGACTCTAAAAAAACACACACACACACACACAAAAAACATCGGATCCTAAGCGTGACGGCAGGGAAGAAGGGTGAGAGCCGCGTGCGTTCACTGCCAGCAAGAGGTCTCTCTCTTGGCGGATCTGGCACGCGAATCATTGCTGGATCTGTGCATGCGACATATCAAGGCTCGAAGTGACTTTTGACTTTTGAGTCGACTGAAAAGTCACCACGAATCAAATCTGGATCTGAACATGCGGCAGATCTATACTCGAAAGAACGGCGTTGGCTTCAACGGATCCACGTGGCAGACGTAGAACGGAGTCGGAGACGGAAACAGGAAGCGAGAGACGCGCCTCCGATAAGCTGCGTGTTCCCCACGAGCATCGGACGGCGTGACTCATTTCCAAAAGAAACATCCGTACCACGGGTTACGTTTAACGGATCTAAAACACGGATTGACCAGTGGGTGACGAGAGTAAGAACGAAAGCGGTAACGAAAGTGGTGGCGAAAGGGGTAACGCACCTCCGATGAAGAGCTTGTTGCCGGACATGAACCGCACGGCTTGCGTCATGGCGGCGGGGAGCAGCGATAAGTGCGGCTGCGGCGCGTGAAACACGGCGAGCGCGTCATTGGCGCTGCCTTGTGTGACTGATCTCCTCAGCACGTTGCCGATCCCCCGAAGGAAAGCCATCGCGAATGGATGTCAGAAGTTAACTGAGTGAGTAGATCGTAACACGGTTGATGAAAATCGCTGCTTCAAGCCTTCAGCAGGAAACACAAGGCAGCAGAAGCACCGAAAACAAGTTACGCAAGTCCGAGCAGCTCAAAAGTGCTGGACGAAAAGCGAGCAAATACAGCTCAAGCTTCAGGTAATATCGGCACAAGGGTGAGGGAGAATCAGCTTCAGCCGCTCCCCGCTACTGAGCAAGAATGGCTCCACAATCGGAGGTGAAAATCTCATCGCAGTGCAGTTGGTGGTTCTTATAGCATGCTGTCGAGAAGACTTCTAACAAGTACTAGCTCTCGTTGAAATGCCCCAGCGATTCCGGCTGTTAGGCCAGGTTAGGTTCGGTTGAATGGGGATGAGCTGGCAGTACTGTGGAATCTTGAGTCTGGTGAAGTGCTCCGCGTGGATCACGTGCGTGGAAAAGCAAAATATCTTCGTGGTCCACCACCACGAAATGCTAATACACTGCGATGCCCCCATGGTTTACATCTTTAGAGAATATTCCACATGCAATCGCTGCATGGTTTACACCACATGATGTAAAGGCCAAAACAATTTAGTGCTACCATACCTGTCATTATTGAGGCTGAATGGACTAACTCAGCAGTATTTCCTAACGGAAGAGCAAAGCCTAGCGGCAACAATAATGCACTATTCTCTAGCAGATGCGCATCACTAGCAGAGGACCACCACTACCGTGTTAGGCAACACGCACGACAAAATAAATACTTGATCTCAGTAAGCCGATGCTCGTTTCCTTAGGCCTGGAATAAAAGCTGAAATTTCCTTCTCCAGGTCTTCTAAGCTCTGTTCCAGCTGCTCCTGGAAATCCCTATCCTCCTCAGTCACCGCCCTCCCATGCACCACCACCGCCCGCTTACACACCACCACGAACCGCACAATCGCAGACGTCAACATCTCAAGTTCCGACGGCTGTAACTTTTCCGGATCCTTGGCCCTCGGATTAGCCCCCTGGGGATTCGCCTGGTAAAACGCCATACACACTCCCAGCACTCCACTGTTAACCTGCAACGCCACACTCCCCTGCAGTAACCGCTGCAGCGTTTGTAACCGCGGCAGCTGTAGCGGGCCCGAACCTGCTGCCATTGCTGCCGCTACAACTGCTGCCGGGTCTTTCTTCCCCGCCGGGCCTCCCGCCGCCCCTGCCGCCCCAGAATCCCCCAACTGGCTGGCCATTTCGGCTTCTAGCGCAAACGACCGCGACTCAATAATCTCCACAGCGCACTGGATCGGGGAGTACTCCCGAACCTCCGACCGAACCACCGGCTGCCGGCTAATCAGGCTCGGCAGCGTGCTCTGCGTGTACAGCAGCGTTCGTCTCTTCCACTGATCCTCCATCTTCCCTTGCTGCTTCCCATTCGGCGTAAACGGCGTGTCAAAAAAGAAACAACTGAACGTTGGAGTCCCGGCAATCGAAGGCTCGAGAGATCTGCCGAGCCACCGATCCTCCCCCGCACCTACCACAGGTTCGACGGCGGTGATCTGCATATAGACTAGGTTCGGCTTGAGGGCGGCAGGGTCTACTTGGCGTGAGTCTTGGATGATCTGAAGAGGTTCCTCATCAGGCGAGCGTGCATCATAGAGTGCTTTCAGCTTCTCCATTATGTCTCCTAGGCGGACGTCTCTCGGCTCTCGGTAGATGAACTCCCTGCCTCAGCACAGGGAGGAGCGGGAAGCAGGGGAAGGGGTAGAGAAGTTATGCAAAAGGGGCTCCTCATCGGGAGAGCGTGCATCATAGAGTGCTTTCAGCTTCTCCATTATGTGTCCCAGACGTACGTCTCTCGGCTCTCGATAGATGAACTCCCTGCATCAGCACAGGGAAAATGGAGAGCAGGGAAAGGGTGGGCATGGGGGTGGTGCAGGTGTGGAAAGAGGAGGTGAGGAGGTAGAGAGGGGCTCCTCGTCGTGCGAGCGCCCATCGTAGAGCGCCTTGCGCTTCTCCATTATGTAGGAGAGGAAGGAGGAGGGCATGAAGGAGAGCAGGTATGAGAAGGGAGCTCTTAGTCGTGAGTGCAGTAGAGCGCTTTGAGCTTCTCCATTATGTCTCCCAGGCGGAATTCCCTTGGCTCTCCATAGATGAGCTCCCTGCAGTGGACGGCGGGGAAGGGGCAGGCAGAGAAAAGTGCAGGCATGGGAAGAGGAAGAGGTGGGGCGGGGGAAGAGGGCTTCGTGTTGGTACAGCGAGCACCTTGAGCTTTTCCATTTTGTCACCTCATCATGGAGAGGGAAGAGTGAGAAAGGCGGGAACTGATGCAGGAAATGAAACAGCATGGGAAGGGCGTGAAAAGGCTCATCATGTGTTGATGGGCCGCTCACCTGCCATCGATGTATCGGAAACGTTCCCCATAGAAGCCGACTCGATAGTAGCAAGCGTCCTTGAAGGGGATGGGACTCGTCTCCTGCTGCTCCACGTTCTCATAGATGGACGCTATCTTGTTGTGCGTCTTGGTCAGCTGGGGTGGGGGTTTGGGAGGAAAGGTTCCAAAGGCCAAGTTGAGACTTACCCTGCACTGAGAGTGGCACAGACTCAACCCCTATCCAAATCAAATCAAATCACACGCGCACCTGCTTGTAGTCGTGGCGGGAGCGGTGCAGCGGCAGCAGCAGGGAGAGCATGAGCGCGCAGAAGTGGAAGAGCTCCGCCTTGTAGAACAGGTTGCTCGCCCTCGCCACGTGCTGCACCGCCCCCTCCACCGTCACCCGCGCCGCCCCAAACCCGGATTGGGACGAGAAGGCCCGCGCGCGCCACTGGTGGCGGGCCAAAGGGCAGATGCTCCAGAGCACCTCCAGATGCTCCTCGTCCCACACAGGTTCCTCCGACGCGATTTGCAACCCCTGAAAGAACGAGATGGGAGGGGCGAGAGGAGGAGTATTGGTGTGAGTGTGAGTGCCACTGGTGGCGGGCTAGAGGGCAGATGCTCCAGAGGACCTCCAGGTGCTCCTCGTCCCACACTGGTTCCTCTGATGCGATTTGCAGACCCTGAGAGGACGCATTGAGAGAAGGGGTAGTACTGGTGTGAGTGTGACTCGCGCGCGCCACTGGTGGCGGACCAAGGGGCAGATGCTCCAGAGGACCTCCAGATGCTCCTCGTCCCACACTGGTTCCTCCGACGCGATTTGCAGACCCTGAGAGGACGAGATGGGAGAGGCGAGAGGAGTACTGGTGTGAGTGTGAGTCCCACTGGTGGCAGGCTGAAGGGCAGATGCTCCAGAGCACCCCCAGGTGCTCCTCGTCCCACACAGGCCCTTCAGACGCGATTTGCAGACTTAGCGAGTGAGTGCGACATGATGGGGAGAATAGAAGGGGAAATGGGGAGTGAGAGGGAGCGATCAACTCCAGTAGGCAGGAGAACCCCCATCCCTCAACCCCAGCAGCAAACACTCGTCCCTGCACCCCAGCAGGCAGTAAAAACCTAACCCCTGATACCTCAAGGGTCAAAACCACAGCAGGTAGGCAGCACCCCTTGGGCCTTGGGCTTACGATCCCAGCCGCAGGAACAGCGCACTGAGCAGCCTCAGCCAACAAAACAATGATCCCTCAACCCCAGCAGGCAGCGCCCCTTGTGCCTTGCTCTTACCCAGATCACAATGCCGGCTACAGACACAGCGCACTGGGCGGCCTCGGCCCACTGGTTCATCTCCTGGTGTGCGTCACACAGGTGGAGCATCCACATTATGTACAGATCGGGCAGCAACCCCCCCTTCCTCAACCCACAAGGGCGGGTCCCCCTAGCCTTACCCGAATGACAATGCCAGCCACGGACACGGCACATTGGGCGGCCTCGGCCCACTGGTTCATCTCCTGGTGCGCGTCACATAGGTGCAGCATCCACATGATGTAGAGGTCGGGCACGTGCCCATATGCCTGTGCCAGGATGTAGTAGCTCTCCACTATGGCGTACTTGTCGTTGGATGTTTTCAGCCCCTCCATCTGCGAGTGAAAAGGGAGGGCATAACGGAGTGAAGGGAGAACGATGGAAAGGTGTTGCGATCAGGCATGTGCCCTGTTGAGCAGCAGTGCAACATGAGCAACCATGTTAGGTGGGCAAAAAACAAGACCTACCAATTGCTCATGCTGTGAATCCACCACAGTAGGCAGCATGTCCTGAATTCACTACTGGTGCAAAAAGACGACTTCAGATTTGAACCAGAATTCAAGACTCACCAGTTGCTCGTGCTGTGACGCCGCATCCACCACCGTGAGCAGCAAATCCTGAGTCCACCACTGGTGCAAAAAGGTGACTTCGAGTCGGCCCAGAAAATCAAGACTCACCAGCTGCTCGTATTGCGATGCCGCATCCACCACAGTGAGCAGCATATCCTGAGTCTCCACATTTGTTCAAGCGTCCACAGAGGTGAATCTATGAAAGCCAAAGGGTACTCAGTTGCTCGTGAAACGAGACTTACCAGCTGCTCGTGCTGTGACGCCGCATCCACCACCGTGAGCAGCATATCCTGAGTCTCCTCCACATTCGACCACGTCCACAGAGGTGACTCTACGAAAGCCAAACAGCACCCACTTGCTTATGAAAGAGGCTCACCAGTTGCTCGTGCTGTGATGCCGCATCCACCACCGTGAGCAGCATATCTTGAGTCTCCTCCACATTCGCCCACGTCCACCTGTCCCTCTCCCTCTTCCGCCTCCTCCCCACCATCACACTCCCCCCTTCATCCCACTCCTCATACTCCTCCTCCTCGTCCTCCTCATCCTCCTCCTCCTCCTTCTCCTCATCCTCCTCCACCACAATCTCAAGGCAGATCGATGGTAACCCACACTCATCCAGCAGCTGAAACCACTTATCCTCCGTCCCAAGCTCTTCCAGCGAAAGCCTCAGCTTCTCAACCTCTGCGGACTCTACGAGTTCCCCAGCACCCCCACCCGCACCGCCAGCAGCAGAAGCGATGCTAGAGGCACTGGAGGAGCGAGAGGCGGGGGCAGGGGAGGGCGAGGGCGCGTGCAGGAGGCGCATGTGGGAGAGCACTTCAGAGAGAGCGACTGTGAGGATGACTCTGAGGCGCTCCACGTCCTTCATGTGCAGCAGGGCGTTCTGCGGAGGGGAGGGGGGGGAACAGGAAAGGAGAGTTATGGGAATTTCTGTGGAAACGGGGAGAGCACTTCGGAGAGAGCCACTGTGAGGATGACTCGAAGGCGTTCCACATCCTTCATGTGCAGCAGGGCGTTCTGTGTGTGCATGAGATGGGGAAGAGAGGGAGGAGGGGATTAAGTGGGAGAGGACCTCCGAGAGAGCCGAGAGGATGACTCTCAGCCGTTCCACGTCCTTCATGTGCAGCAGGGCGTTGTGTGTGTGGGAGGATAAAGAGTGACGGTGAGGATGCAGGGCGTTGTGTGTGTGGGAGGATAAAGAGTGACGGTGAGGATGCAGGGCGTTGTGTGTGTGGGAGGAATGCGGAAAGGTGAGGGGGTGTTGAAGGAAGACAAACCAAGGGATGGTTGCAGGGAGAGAGGGCACAGCAGTGAGGGCTGTAAGTACATCAAAGTAATCAACTATGCCATATCAGAAGTCCGGCACAGGAATACGCACGCGCAGGAGCAGTAGCAGGCAGAGCAGCGCTCTCTTTCTGATGAACTCGGGGCGGAGGGCCATCTGCCTCAGCAGGCTGCCAAAGAGGCCCTTGAGCAGCACATCGCCTCCCTTAGCTGCCGCCCCGCCGCCCCCGCCACTGTCAGCAGTGTCAGCTGCAGCAGCAGAGGGTGGCCCATCGAGCATGGCCTTGCCGTGCAGGCGCAGCATTTCAGCAAAGGCTGGGACGAAGGGCTCCCAGAAGCTCATGGGCTGGAGGACAGGAGGGGGTGAGGGGGTCAACAGGGGGGGCAGGACAGGAGTGAATGAGAGGCCCATCGAGCATGGCCTTGCCGTGCAGGCTGGCACAAAGGGCTCCCAGAAACTCATGGGCTGGAAGATAAGAGGGGCAGGGGGGTTGGAAAGGCGGATACATGTGCACATAAAGTGTGAAAAGGGGCTGCTGGATATATGTGTGAGTGCGCGTGATTATGAGTCAGTGTGTGGGTGTGTGGGTGGGTGGAATATAAGCACACCCACCTGCGGCAGGGCGAGCATGACGGAGAGCGGGCCAGTGAGGCAGTCCATGGTTTGGTAGTCGGTGGCAACGAGCCCATCAGCAGCCATGTCGCTGAACTTCTCCACCACCTCCAGCACCTGCACCGCACACCATGCCGCTACACTGGCTTCCCATGTTAACTGACGATGGGAGGGGGTTAGGAATATGGGGGGGAGGGGAAGTGCGGAAAGGGGTTACTAAGGAGCCCATCAGCAGCCATGTCGCTGAACTTCTCCACCACCTCCAACACCTGCACCGCACACCATGCTGCCACGCTGGATTCCCACACCAGCTGGTGGGCGGGGGAAGGGGAGGGGGAAAAGGGTAGGGCAGGGGGGGTTGGGGGCCAGGGTAGCAACGAACCAGATTGTTGAACTTCTCCACCACCTCCAACACCTGCACTGCACACCATGCTGCCACGCTCGACTCCCATATCAGCTGGTGCGGGCACGGGGCAAGGGGGAAAGGGGTTAGATGGTGGGGTTTGGTACTCAGTAGCCCCATCAGCAGCCATGTCGCTCAACTTCTCCACCACCTCCAACACCTGCACTGCACACCATGCTGCTACACTCGACTCCCATATCAGTTGGTGGGGGCACGGTAGCACTAGGGGAAGGGTGGGAGGGGGAAGGGGACGGGGGAACGGGGGCGGGGACAAAGAAGGGGAAAAGGTGAGACTGTGAGACGAAAACTCCTTCCCGCCCCCCTTTCCTCCTAACCCAACACCCTTCCTACTCCCCACCCCCCACTCACCAGCTTCGCAGAAGCGCTGGGCGGCAAATTTTGTCTCATCAGCGCCATGGCATCTTTGGGCGGTATTCTTGACCGCGCGAGCACGTCCCTGAGCGAAACCGCCGACCCCTTGCCGCCCGACACTGCGCCGCCCGTAACCTTTCGGATTATCTGCTCCCTCTCGAGCAAGGCCTTGGGATCTGCCCGGGCCATCTCATCCAGCTGGTCATTGGTTGCCAGGGAGACTCGGTCCGAGTACATTGGGATTGGTGGAGGCTCCACTGCCAGCGTGGCGTCGGCAGGTGCTGACGTGGCGGGGCTGGATTTGGTGGCGGCGGGGCGGGGCTTGCTGCCAGCTGTCAGCTGGGGCGGGTGCTGTGGGTGATTAGGGGAAGGGGTGAAAGGAGGGGGAAGAGGAGGGGGAGGGACGGAGGTGGGGTGAGTGGAGTAGTGTGGAGTTGAGAGCGGTGGAATGGGATGGATGAGGTGATTGCGGGAAAGGGAGGAGAAGCAAATGCAAAGCAGCTGCAACGTCACAAATCAATCACCTGAAGCAGCACCAGAAAGCGCGCCTTACAAATCACCTGAGGCGGCACGGCACCTGAGAATTCACCTGGAAGAGCACGAGGGCCTGCTGCAGGAGCGTGAAGAAGAGGCGAGTGCGCACGTCGCTCTGCTTCCACGCCTTGAGCAGCGTCTCATTGTCCAGATTCCTCGCCACTGTGAGCATCACCACCAGGATCTGCCTCCTCTGAATGACCCCTAGAGTGTGGAACGTCTCGACCTCATCCAGGATCATGTTGACGATGGGCATGTAGAGCTGCGCGATGTACAGCTTCAGCTCCGGCTGCTGGTACCGCGCATCGTACTCGTGCTTCGCCACCTGGAAGGCCAGCATGCGCGCAGCCTGGGAGTGGCGGAATAGGAGAAAAGGGACAAGGGCGTGGAAGGGTGAAGGATAAGGAGAGGGTGTATTGAGTGCGAATTGCGATACTGGCATATCGTCAACACATACTGTCGTATGGTCCCTCGAGCACGCGCGCAATGGAGAGCGTGAGCGTGCAATAAAAGAATGTGCATTCAATCATCCATTCATGCATGCGTTCAAGAGTCCACTCAAGAGCATGCAAAGACGCAGGGGCGTACCAGCGATCGCTGACTGGGGTCCTCGTGGTCGAGGCTCACAAAGAGGTCCTTGAGCAGCACTGTGGTCAGATAATTCCTGGTGGTGAGTGGTGATGAGTGGTGATGATGAGTGGTGATGATGAGTGGTAACGAGTGGTGATGATGAGTGGTGATGAGTGGTGATGATGAGTGGTGATGATGAGTGGTGATGGTGGTGGTTGGAGGAAATGCGGAAGTTAGCAGAGGCAAGCGGACATTGCAGAGAGAAAGATGGTGGCGGCAAGGGGGAACAGCAAAATGGGATAATTGCATCCAGGCTTGGAGCAGGACGGTGCTAAAATCCTTAGATTCTGATATCCTGAACCCTGAACCCTGAACCCTGAACGCTAAGTGCCGTAAGACTGTACTTCTTGATGGGTCCTTACAATCACAACACAAGCCATTCCAGAACTTACTTCTCAGTGGGGCCGCGGCCAGGCGTCTCGATGTAGAGGTCATGGTCGCAGCCAATGCGGAGGAAGTGCAGCTTGAGCCATTTGAGGCGCCCCACAATCACAACACAAGCCATTCCTAGACTCACTTCTCTGTGGGTCCCCGCCCGGGAGTCTCGATGTAGAGGTCATGGTCGCAGACAATGCGGAGGAAGTGCAGCTTGAACATGTGCTGCATGGGCGGACATACTCCCACAAACTGCGAGAGGAAGAGGCCGACCTGAGATGTGGAGATGGGAGAGGAATACGGGGAATGGAAAAAAGGGAAGGGACGTCAGGGGATGTGATGGGATGATGACCTGTGATGAGACTGAGGCTTGACTTACAAATGAATGACTCGGCTTACTATCTGCACTTCAGGGCGAAGCCGCATACCAGTTCAAAGACTTGTGGCGGGTCGACGACAGAAATGAGGTCGTAGCAGAAGGAGATGGAGGAGCTGAGGCTCTTGGCGAGTGAATGGATGGCACGACACGACAGGCACACTGTAGCAAAAGAAGAGCCTCAAACGGAGACTTACCAACTCAAAGACTTGTGGTGGGTCCACGACGGAGATGACGTCGTAGCAGAAGAAGGAGATGGAGGAGCTGAGGCTCTTGGATTCAAGTCGATGTTCTTTATTTGATTTCAAAAACACACTCTAAAGGGGGTAGCAGAGGGGTGGGTGGAGGAAGGGGTGAAGGGCTGCTCACCAGCTCAAAGACTTGCGGCGGATCCACGACAGAGATGAGGTCGTAGCAGAAGAAGGAGATGGAGGAGCTGAGGCTCTTGGCCAGGGGCGGGTCTGAGACTGCCTTCTCGTGCACCTCGGCCAGCAGACACTCAAAGAGCTGTCGGATGCACAGAAACACCTCGTCCTCTAGCCTTAGACGTGCGATCTCATCCCCTGTGTGGAGGAAGTGGAGAAAAGGAAGGGGTGTGGGGAAAGGAGGGAGTGGTGGGCATCAGCTTAGTGATGCACCTCGGCCAGCAGACACTCAAAGAGCTGTCGGATGCACAGAAACACCTCGTCCTCTAGCCTTAGACGTGCGATCTCATCCCCTGTGTGGAGGAAGTGGAGAAAAGGAAGGGGTGTGGGGAAAGGAGGGAGTGGTGGGAATCAGCTTAGTGATGCACCTCGGCCAGCAGACACTCAAAGAGCTGTCGGATGCACAGAAACACCTCGTCCTCTAGCCTTAGGCGCGCGATCTCATCCCCTGTGTGGAGGAAGTGGAGAAAAGGAAGGGGTGTGGGGAAAGGAGGGAGTGGTGGGCATCAGCTTAGTGATGCACCTCGGCCAGCAGACACTCAAAGAGCTGTCGGATGCACAGAAACACCTCGTCCTCTAGCCTTAGGCGCGCGATCTCATCCCCTGTGTGGAGGAAGTGGAGAAAAGGAAGGGGTGTGGGGAAAGGAGGGAGTGGTGGGCATCAGCTTAGTGATGCACCTCGGCCAGCAGACACTCAAAGAGCTGTCGGATGCACAGAAACACCTCGTCCTCTAGCCTTAGGCGCGCGATCTCATCCCCTGGTGGTGTCATGTCCGGGGGAGGAAAGGGGGGATTGGGGGGGGGAAACGGTGGAGGATTAGAGGTGGTGGAGGGGACAGGTGAAACGAGAGCATTCACATGCATCCCGGCCAGCAGGCACACAAAGAGCTGCCGGATGCTCAGAAGAATTGTGCCCTCCAACCTCAGGTGAGGATTTTTTTCCCTGGTCCATGGGCTATCAGCTCTTGAGAGTCGTCAAACGTGATGATGGTCAGCTCAAAACAGAAGCACGCCGTCTGCTCTGCAGTGAGGACTGAACAACGACCTGCTACCTCATCATACCATATCTAAACTTTCTCAGTGTACCGCATCATATCGCATCGCACCTTGCGGCACCTGGGCCAAGTCCAGGTCAATGGACTTGACAATGAACTCCAGCACAGACCACGCCATCTGCTCTGCAGCGAGGACTGCATAATCACCTGCTTCCTTCCCGTATAGTATCCAGTTAAAACCACATTGCATCGCATCGCACCTTGCGGCACCTGGGCCAGTTCCAGGTCCATGGACTTAACGATGAGCTCCAGCACAAACCACGCCATCTGCAGCGCCTCCGCATACACCGGCCCCACTCGGAACCCTCGCGACTGGGGGGCATGGGGAGCAGAGCGTGGGGAGTGGTTGAGGGGGAGAAGGGGAAACCAAGAAGCACGTGAGAGCGAGAAGCACAATCCACGCCCTTTGCAGCGCCTCCGCATACACGGGCCCCACTCGGAACCCTCTCGACTGGAATGGAAGGTACAGGGAGCAGAGCATGGGGAGCGGGCACGGTGTTGGGGGTGGAGTGGGGGGAGAGGGGAGGAGCAGGTGATGTGTTGTTATGTCACGCGCCTCAGAATACCCCGGATCCGATCAAAACCCCGCAAGACTGGAGAACATACCCACCCCACTGTTCACAAATTTACCTTGCTGCGGGCGAGACTGCGCCACACGTTGCTGAGCCCGAGGTGCACGGGCGGCTGGTTGCGACCAAGCTTTGCCTCTCACCCCTCCCCCATTCCCCTCCTCCCACACGCACACACACCTCCCAGTGGCACACGCACCTTGCTGCGGGCGAGGCTACGCCACACGTTGCTGAGCCCGGGGTACACGGGCGGCTGGTTGCGACCGAGATCGTCAAAGATGAAGTCGACAAAGTGCACGAGGAAGCGACAGCGCTCCATGGGGGTTGAGCCAGTCTGCGGTGCCACCTCCAGCTGCACTCTGTTTTGTGAGAGTGGGGTGGAGGGGTGCGACGAGGGGAGAGTGAAAGATGAAGTCGACGAAGTGCACGAGGAAACGAGTGCGCTCCATGGGGGCTGAGCCAGTCTGCGGTGCCAGCAGCTCCAGCTGCACTCTGCTCGCAGGGGAGGGGGGTGTGGAGGGTGCGACGAGGGGAGGGGGAGAGCCAAAGATGAAGCCCTTACAGTGCGTAAGGAAGCAACTCTGCTCCATGGGGGCTGCTACCTGCGGTGCCACCTCCAGCTGCAGTGATGCGGAGGAGGGGGGCACACCTAGCCTAGGCACGCTACCCAGGAGAAGGAGAAAGAAAGTAAGGGGGGACGATGTTGATCATGGCTCGAAAGGCGGCAAGAGAGATGGGCGAGAGATGGGCGTGAGAGATGGGCGCGAGAGATGGGCGCGAGAGAGTAAGGGGGGACCGTATTTACATGCGCACGCGCACCCACCCAGGAGAAGGAGAAAGAAGCCCACCTGGAGACTTTTGAGTCGACTCAAAAGAGAAAGCAGCCCACCTGGAGACTTTTGAGTTGACTCAAAAGAGAATGCAGCCCACCTGGAGACGATGTTGACCATGGCTCGAAAGGCGGCCACCTGCAGCGTCTCCACGCCATTCCCGATCATGCAGAGCAGCATGTTGAGCAGCGGGTAGAGGAACTGCATGAGCACCACCACGTCCACCGTCTTGAGCGCGTTGATTGCCTCTAAGAGGTCCTCTCGGGGCAGAGGCGCCTCCAGCATGTGGCGGTCGAACTGGTGGAAGAAGTCTCTCAGGCGGTCGGAGAGTGGGAGGAGTGAGGAGAACAGGCGCGTGCGCACGCGGAAGATGGGGCGGCCCTCCTCCCAGTAGGTCAACCGCGACTGGTGGGGGGTGTGGGGGAAAGAGGAGCAGGTGATTCGGGTGGTTTGGGCGAGGGGGAGTGGGGAGGAGAGGGAGAGGAAAGAGGCGCCTCCAGGAGGTCCTCTCTTGGCAGGGGCGCCTCCAGCATGTGGCGGTCGAACTGGTGGAAGAAGTCGCGCAGGCAGTCGGAGAGCGGGAGGAGGGACGAGAAGAGCCGCGTGCGCACTCGGAAGATGGGGCGCCCTTCTTCCCAGTGGGTCAGCCGCGACCGGTACAGGGTGGGGAGGGGGGAAGAGGGGTAGGGGGTGGTTTCAGGGAAAAGGAGCAGAGGATGAGAGGAGGACAGTGGGGCCATCAGCACGACAAGGGGCGCCCTCTTGAGCGCATTGATGGCACCTCTGCCATGGGGCACCTTGAGGGCGCCCCTTTCTCCACACCATGCTGGAGGCACCTCTTGCCCCAGGAGGAGGTCCTCGCAGGGCAGAGGTGCCTCCAGCACGGTGTGGAGAAAAAATAGCAGCTCATTGGGTTGGAAAGGCAGGAGGAGTAAGGACAGCATGAAAAGCCGCTCCTCCCAGTTCTTCAGACGCACATCACATGCAACCACCATGCAAAAGTTGACTTTTGAGTCGATTTAAAAGTCAACTCGCTCCTCCCAGTTCGCCAGATGCACATCGCATGCAAACACCATGCAAAAACGCAATGAAGCAGCCCTGTGTGCCTCACCTTGGTGCTCTCCTGCAGGTAGCGTGGCTGCAGGTCCTTGGATATGGGCAGATTCACCTCCGCTTTGAACGCTCTGGCACAAAAAGAGTGAACACATGGAAGTTGGATTGAAACACATAGCAGATGAAACGCATGGCAGATGAAACGCATGGCAGATGAGACGTGGCATGCGGAGTGACGCCACCGGATTGTCAATGATTGCGAAGATTGTGCGCAAGCTGGCAGTGGAGTGTCAAGCTAAGCTGGCAGTGGAGTGTCAAGCTAAGCTGGGGAACAAGAACGTACTGTAGAGCAGCAGCAAGAGGCATGACTGCATAACCAACCGCCACCTGCATCGAAACAACACAGCACACGGACCAGGAAAAGAATACGAAGGTCGGAAAAGAATTTTGAACTGGGGAGTACGAAAGGGATTCTTTCAATAAAGAGATTTCCAAATGGATGTGGAAGAACGGATGTGAAGAGCAGAGAAGGTGGTGCGATGCGAGGGCGACACACCAACCGGCAGCTGCAGCTTACTGTACTCCGTATAAGCGCTCACCGGCTTTGGCCGATCGGAGCGCAGGGAGAGGTCGATATGTATGGAAGAAGGTGAAGAGCAGATGGTGTGCGGGCGACACAGAGGCGGGCAGCTGAGTCCTCCCTATCTCTCACTTCTGCATCCATCACACGCTCACCCCGTACCCCTCACAAGTGCACGTACAAGCTCCCACTCACCGGCTTGGGCCGTTCGGAGCGCAGGGAGAGGTCGATATGTATGGAAGAAGGTGAAGAGCAGATGGTGTGCGGGCGACACAGAGGCGGGCAGCTGAGTCCTCCCTATCTCTCACTTCTGCATCCATCACACGCTCACCCCGTACCCCTCACAAGTGCACGTACAAGCTCCCACTCACCGGCTTGGGCCGTTCGGAGCGCAGGGAGAGGTCGATATGGAAGAAGGTGAAGAGCAGATGGTGTGTGGGCGACACAGAGGCGGCCAGCTGAGTCCTCCCTATCTCTCACTTCTGCATCCATCACACGCTCACCCCGTACCCCTCACAAGTGCACGTACAAGCTCCCACTCACCGGCTTGGGCCGTTCGGAGCGCAGGGAGAGGTCGATATGGAAGAAGGTGAAGAGCAGATGGTGTGCGGGCGACACAGAGGCGGGCAGCTGCATCTTGACCTCGTCATGGAAGAGAGCCGGTCGTGCGCCCTGCACCACTTGAGTTGACGCTGTGCGCAGCATGGGGCCATTACGCTCCTTGGGGAAGATGGCCTGTGAGGGGGAGAAAGGAGAGGGAAGGAAGGAGGGAGGAGGGAAGGGAGGCAGGGGGGACGGGCGACACAGAGGCTGGCAGCTGCATCTTGACCTCGTCGTGGAAGAGCGCGGGCCGTGCACCCTGTACCACTTGGGTGGAGGCTGTCCGCAGCATAGGGCCATTGCGTTCCTTACAGAAGATGGCCTGTATAAATGAAGAGGGAGTGTGGAGTGGGGAGAGGGGAGGAGGAAGAGGGGTTGAGGGGCGAAAGGGGGGGTTAAAGGGGGGAAAGACGGAGTATGTGTCCCTGTGCCGCCTGGTTGGATGCTGCTCGCTGCATGGTCCCACAACGCTCCGTTGGATTGCCACTCGCCTCTACTAACAACAGTTGGATCGCCACTCGCCTCTACTAACAACTGTTGGATTGCCACTCGCCTCTACTAACCACCGTTGGATTTCCCTTATCTGCCCTGCCAGCTGCGCAGTATCATCCTCATCTTAGCTGACATTTGTTGAATCAGCGCCCACCTCACACCAAGGGCCGTTGGATCGCCAATCGCCGACAACCGTTGGATCATCGCTCACCTCCATGGAGGGCCGTTGGATGTCGAGATTGTCAGCCCGTAACTCGGTGCGCACAAAGAGGTTGAGCTTCTTGGGCAGCGCCACCTGCTGCTGCGATGCTGGCTCACTGCATAATCCACTCACAGCCGTCGGATCGCGACTCACCTGCACTCATGGCCGTCGGATTGGCACCCACCTCCATTGAGGGGCGTTGGATGTCGAGGTCGTCGGCGCGCAGCTCGGTGCGCACGAAGAGATTGAGCTTCTTGGGCAGCGCGACTTGCTGGGGATACACGAAGAGCAGATGCACGAGGCGCGTGAACGGCTCCGCCCTCACCATGTCCGTGAAGTCTATCGCCTGGAACTGGGGAGAGGAAGGTGGGGAGGGGAAAAAGGGGGGGAGAGGGAGGATAAACAGGGGGTTAAGGGTGGGTGGGGATGGGTGCTAGGTGGATGGGGTTGGAAAGTGGCTTGGAAACTTTAACGGCCTGGAACTGAGGTGCAGAGGTGGCTGGAAGGGCAGGGATGAAGGGAAAGAGCAGGAGCACGAGGCGCGTGAAGGGCTCCGCCCTCACCATGCCCGTGAAGTCCATCGCCTGGAACTGATGGGTGGAGGAGGGAGGGGAGGGTTGGGGGAATGGCAGGGGGGAGGGAGGAAAGGAGAAGGGAAGGGGTTGAGTGAGATTGGATGTTGGCCATGTTGACACCTCTGAGCTCATGGATTGCGACCTTGCCCATCCCCCTTGACCCACCCTTCCCACTTCCCCCCCTCGTTCCCTGTGGACCCAAGCAGAGGCAACACCATACACACAGCGCACTAAGCACTTACCCCGGAGGGGAATCTGGAGACGGAGAGGCTCCTGGGCATCTTGTTGGCATTGTCCAATTCTGAGGTCATAGAGTCCTGCGACCGCACCCGGTTCTCCCCCCCCTTGACCCCAGCCTACCCCATTTCCCCCAAAAAAATGAGCGCATGCAGAAGATTCACGGGGAACTTACCCCGGTCAGGAATCAGAAGATTCACGGGGAACTTACCCCGGTCAGGAATCAGAAGACGGAGAAGTTCCTGGGTACCATGTTCACATCGTCCATGTCTGAGGTTACGGAATCCTGCCACCGCGCCCAGTTCACACCTCACACCCCCTTGACCCCAATCTACCCCCTTTCCCCCAAGAACTTGTGGGCATGCAGGAGACTCACAGGGCACTCACTCACTCACCCCTGTAAGGAATCTGGAGACGGAGAGGCTCCTGGGTACCATGTTGACATCGTCCATGTCTGAAGTCATAGAGTCCTGCGACCGCGCCCGGTTCATTTCCCTCTGAGAGGCGCTGCTGCTGAGGGACCGCGGCGTCACACTGCCTCCCGCTGCTGCCCCCCCTGCCGCCCCCCCGGGAAGCCTCTCCACCTCGAAGTGCATGGAGACGCGCACTGGCTTCTGCGCCTTCTTCTTGGGGTCCTGAGGGAGGGGGGGGAGAGGGAGAGACGGAGGAATGGGTGGGAAGAAGAGTTGGAGCAGGGGACAAAGGGCCCCTGCCGCCCCCCCGGGTAGACGCTCCACCTTGAAGTGCACGGAGACGCGCACTGGCTTCTGCGCCCTTTTTAGGGTTCTGGGGGGGAAAGGGGGGTGTTGAAGGGTAGGAAAGGGGGGAAGACGAGGAGGGGAAGTGAGCCTTCACCAATTTTGTCAACTTAGAAAACAATAACTGAGAGCCAAGGTTCGGCAGCTCACCAGCAGTTGGTCATCAGTATAACACTCCTTGGCGCGATTCAACGTGGGAATGTCAATCTGCACTGGTGGCCCCCCCAGTTCATAAGCCGGCACGCGCACCCCATTGCTATCCACCACTGGACTCGACCCCGCGCCTCCCCCCATCCCCCCGCCTTCCACCCCCAGCACGCCCCCGCCTCCCCCCAGGCTCCCTGACGAGCCTCCCCCTGAGCTGCCCCCTCCTGAGGCCCCGAAGCCCCCCACGCCGCCGGTGACGGAGGAGTCGAAGAGCGGGATGGTGATCCACGCGAGGGGCTCTCGGAAGGGCATCACTTGTGCCCACTCTGACAGGCGCGCTGCCTCCTTGTCTGTCAGGGTGGGCTGGGAGGGGGCAGGGGGGAGAGTGGCCGGATAAGAGAGGAAAAGAAGAGCAGATTGTGTTCATGAGGCTCCTCAGAAAATGAAGCCCCCCACGCCGCCGGTGACCGAGGAGTCGAAGAGCGGGATGGTGATCCACGCAAGGGGCTCTCGGAAGGGCATCACTTGTGCCCACTCTGACAGGTGCGCTGCCTCCTTGTCCGTCAGGGTGGGCTGGAGTGGTTGGGGGAGGGAGGGGAGGCGGGCAAGAGGAGGGGAGAGAGGGGGGGAGGTGAGGGGGGTCAGAGTGAGGGCGCATCAACAGTTGAAGCCCCCCACGCCGCCGGTGACGGAGGAGTCGAAGAGGGGAATGGTGATCCACGCGAGGGGCTCTCGGAAGGGCATCACTTGTGCCCACTCGGACAGCTGTGCTGCCTCCTTGTCCGTCAGGGTGGGCTGCAAGAGGGGGGAGTGGGGATCGACGTGTGGAGAGTGGGAGGGGAGAGAGGAGTCGAAGAGCAGGATGGCGATCCACGCGAGGGGCTCGCGGAAGGGCATCACTTGTGCCCACTCGGACAGCCGTGCTGCCTCCTTGTCCGTCGGGGTGGGCTGCAAGAGGGGGGAGTGGGGATGGACGTGTGGAGAGTGGGAGGGGAGAGAGGAGTCGAAGAGCTGGATGGTGATCCACGCGAGGGGCTCGCGGAAGGGCATCACTTGTGCCCACTCCGATAGGCACGCTGCCTCCTTGTCCGTCAGGGTGGGTTGGAGTGGGGTGGAGAGGAAGGAGGGGGAGAATGGAAGGGGGTGGGGGATAGGGAAAAGAGAGGATTGGAGCAGGGGAGACGGGGAGGAGAGGAGGAGAAGAACAAAGTGAAATGTATTTTTTAGGCGCCTCAAGGACCAAAGCAGCCGACACCCGAACCACACCCACCTTTGAGACAACCACACCTACTTAAGGCAGCGCACACTCACGGGGTCCTTGCGGGTGTAAACAGCCGGCTTGATGCCATTGACACTCTCTTCACTCGCAGCCTTGTCGAGCTGCACCAGCAGGCACAGCGCCGCCGACTCCTTGTCCACCGAGAAAATGGCTCTTGTGTCGGGCGACGTGCTCTCACCCTCCCACTGCGCCGGCAGGAACTGGAAGTGGAAGTCCTCGGAGGCCTTCTCACGGCGCTCGGCGTGGTACAGGCACATGGTGCCGCTCACTGGTTCTACCAGCCCTGCCTGCACTGTCAGGCCCAGGATGCGCACTGAGAAACGCGTGCCCCTGGGGAAACAGTGGGGAGGATGAGAGAGAATTTGAGGGGTCGGAGAGGGGATGCGAGTTCTGATTGTAAGGGTATAAGGAGTGACAGGTCATGCACTAGTGGGGGAAGGGCAGCGTGCCATTCACCGATGGCGCTTGCTTGGGATGTGATGTGTCATGCATGCGTGCATGCATTTGTCTCCTCCGAACGCTTGTCTTACACGGAGGGCGAGGTGATGGGGCGGATGGGCAGGCGGTGGCCGATGACAGCAGCACGCTCCGAGTCCCAGTTGAAGAGCGGATCGTACGCCATTATGGTCGACCCCCCGTAGTGCTGCGAGCCACGCAGCCACCATGCCCATGCCCATGCCAAACCCATGCCCATGCAGCCGCCGCCACGCACGCCATGTCAACCCATGCCACCCAATGCCAACCCATGCCGCCCCATATCAGCTCATGCCATGCCATGGCAGCCCATGCAACCCAATGCCAACCCATGCCGCCCCATATCAACTCATGCCATGCCATGTCAGCCCATGGAAGTGGTTGAGGGAAGCAGCAATGAAAAAGGAGGAAGATGAGGAAGGAGGAAGAAGAAGAGGGGAAGGAGGAAGAAGAAGAGGGGAAGGAGAAAGAAGAAGAGGGGAAGGAGGAAGAAGAAGAGGGGAAGGAGGAAGAAGAGGAGGAGGAGGAGGAGGAGGAGGAGGAGGAGGAGGAGGAGGAGGAGGAGGAGGAGGAGGAGGAGGAGGAGGAGGAAGTGGGGGGGGGGGGGGGGGGGGGGGGGGGTGAGGGGAGAAGGGAGAGGAGGAAGACGAAGGGAAGTGGCAAGCGGGGACAACCAGGAGGGCAGTGATCAATCAGCAGGACAGTGAAGGCAACAGATTAATCAGTCAGGTAACATTCTCGAGAAAAAGCTAGCACTCTGAACGAGTTTAATCACTGCAGATGCCTGCTCATACCACGCACTAACCTCGTCCATCGACCTATCCCCGACATAGGGGTCCTCGGGTTCCTCCTCCCCTCCATTCTGCCTGTAGCTCCCTGCTTCGGAAAAAGCAAAAGACAGCCGAGGGAAGCAGCAGAGATGGAGAGCATGGGGATGGACGGCAGTGAAGCGGCGAGAGGGCAGGTGGTGGGAGCAAGGTTAAAGTTTAACCATTAAACTTGAAAACAGCAAGTGGTGCACACCAGCAAGCCAGTCACACAGTTGGTAAGGGACAGGGCGAGTAGCAAGGCGGGCATGTTGGTAGGTGAGGTGAAGCCCGGTGTAGGCAAGGCAGGCAAGGAGGGGCGGGTTCCAGGAGAGGTACAGCAAGTGACACGTATTCTCACAGCAGGTATTCTGCATCCAGAAACGCCAGAATCCACCTCCCAGACATCCGTTTCTCACGGCCTCAGATGCTCATGGCCACCACCCCCAAACGCCGTCTCCCCCGTACGCGTACGCCAACATGCATGCACCCCCCTCTCCTCTTCTCCCCAGATACCCCCTTCTCCCCGATACCCGTTTCCCACTCCCTCCGATTCTCACCTGGAGGGGCGTCTGAGGGGTTGGAGGGGAAGACTTGGTTGGGGAAGGAGAGGTGCGGCTCGCAGATGAAGGTGCCGTACTTGTTCTCTATGTGCACGAAGTCCGCGTTCACGCAAAAGTCCAACTCGCGCAAGTGGGGCACCTCCTCGGCCTCCGGCAGAATCTAGGGAGGAAAGGGGAGGAATGGGGGAGGAGGAGGAGGAGGGGAGGGAGGTGGGGAGGGGGACGAGGGGGAGAATGGGGAAAGAGAAGGGGAGGTGAAGGGGGACGAGGAGGGGGGAGTTTCGGCTGAGCGGCGATGAGAAAGGAAAAAACATGACTTGAAGAGAGGAATTTCACTGGTTTATTCTCTCCCGTTTAAAGGCCAACTCCTTGATTCCGTGTGGAACGTTGCAGCTGGAAAAGACTGACGTGAAACGAGACGCTTCCCAGTGGCCAGAATTCCGCGTGGAATCGCTGAGCCAACAAAAAGCGGACTAAATTATCATCGCGTACAAGGCCCTGGCATCCGAAATCGCACTCAACAAAACCGTACACTCCAATCTCCTGAAACCGCGGTCAAGTCGACTCAAAATCCACCTCCTTAGAAACTGCATTATCGAGGTAGGGTAAGCTCATGACGCTGACTTTGACCGTAACCTAGTCCGCAGCTAAGTATTAAGAACCACAGCCACTCACCATGGAATCCAGATTGCACCCCTGTCCAATTGCCGGAGGCCGCGGGACATACTTAATCTCCAAAAGGCTCATGGCTGTTGATAAGTCAGGCCCCACTAAGGGGCCTGCTCGTTACCCTGACCGGAAGTGCACAACACTGACGCACGAAGACTTCAGCGACGGCGACGACGCCTCTCTAGCTCCTCCATTTCGCCCGTTTTGAGTTTAACGTCCCATGGAAGCAGAAGTATCTTCGACTGAAGATCGCGAGACGGAAAACTACGAGGCCAGATTGCTTGCGCACTGACCGCCTGATCAAAGACGACTGAGGGAACAAGAGTACCGGCCAAACGCAATGCCGACAAAAAAGGAGGCTAAAGACGGCGATAAAACGGTGGACTGACTATTACGTCATTGTCGCGTGTCGCTAATGGCTAGTTTCTAGGAGCGTAGCGTAAACAAAGCTATCAGGCCACCAAAATATGCGAGGTAAAATGCCTTGTGTGTCCGAAACTGTAATAACTGTCGGGTAAACCTCCGCGCGGTACAGAGTGTTTTCGCACGTTTTTATGCTCTCTGATGCGGTGCTCTTTACCAATCAACTCAGCCATTCCGAACAAACCTCCACCCACGATCCCCTCGGGGAATCACGTGGCCTGAAATAAATCGATTAGGTTCGGTTCTTGGGAACCCCTTATCTCGCCGAAGCTGCGGCGGGGAGTGAGAAAAGCAGGGCTGTGATTCGGGGACCTGTCTCGGCAGCACATAGTCTGGCAGGCTGTTACGGGTGCCAATCGAGGTAGCGAGGATTGCACTAGAGTGTTCAATGAGTACAAAATATGAGCTAATACCGTATTACCCCGGATATAGGCGCATATGCGCCTATAATAAAATCATTTTTTTAGGGGTGGCGCTTGTAATTGAATAACGGCCATAAGCGCCGGCGCTTATATCATAGCAAAAATGAATTTCTTATTTTTATGTACCAAATCGAAGCCCGCAATAAGGCAAACACAATTGAGTAACATGCGCGTGCGATAATGCATGTAATCCCGCCGAAAACTGCTGCGCTTCGATTCCCGACCGCACAAATCCCGTCCAGGAGCAGCGCACCTGCCAGCGCTGACGTGAAAGTTGCCTTGCGGCCCAATCAGGCTTTCATGCGCTGGCAGGCAGCTGCATTTCACCCGAACCATCGAGAAGGGGCTGGAATGCCCTGCCAGCGCAGCATCTTCGTGCCGCGATAACCTCCTCTCCGGGTTCAGACAGGGGGTACCCGTCTCTCCCCGACGAGGACCCCGAGGCGCTAACCAGAAGGGGTCCCTTTGAATCTCTCATTTGTTCTCCATTTCTCTCAGTTTCTCGTTCAGTTTCTTGGTCGTTCTCGCCTGGCTGCGGAAGCCATGGCGGAATTCAGCGGCACCCACTTCTTGTTCAAGAAAAAGCCTACGCGAAGGCCCGCGTTTAGAGTAGACGCTGACGGGTGGTACTCCCGTATCCCACCTGAACCACCAGAGCCACCACGGCCTCCTGCTCCTCCTTCGCCTCCTGCACCTCCTGCGCCTCCTGTTCCTCCTGCTCCTCCGCCTCCGGGTCCTGTGTCTCCGCAACTCACTGGCAATCAGCCCGTGCTCACGCTACTGCTCCCATCGGCGTTCGACGAATACCTCTCCGAACCGGAGTCTAACAAGGCGCAAGATGAGTACGTGGAAGTGGAACACGCTTATGGAGGACATTGGGGACAGCCCGACGATTGCCCTTGGGACGAATCTGCGGTCGACGCCGACGATGATGTTGCTGACGCTGAGGAAGCGAGCGGCGCTGACGGCGCCGAGGGTGGCACGGAGGCTTCCGCCGGGGGCGGCGCCCAGGGCGGCACCGCTGAGGATGTGTTTCCAGAAGGTGTTACGGGCGACGATGACGACGACGACGTTGAGTACAGGTCACGCGACGGGCTACCCGAGAAACTGCCCATACCAACCTATCCTCCGAATAATCGCAAGCGACCCCACCCCTCTTCACAGAACCGTGATGCCCGCCCCCCCTCTCCCAGGCACAAGCTCACCGACCACAAGCGGCAAGGTTACACCGCCGCGGAGAAGTTGAAGTTGGTTGCTCTGATGGACGTGGCGGTGTCAAGGCGCGCCTTGGCTCGCGAGAGCGGAATCCACCGGAAGTGTCTCACCAACTGGAAGCGGGCGGCGGAATTCCTCAAGGATGTTCACTCCGCTCGGAAGCGCATGCACGGCCGCGGGCGAGCGTCGTGGTACCGGCCGATGGAGTTGAAGGTGTACGAGAAGCTACTCGAGTGGCGCCGCAAGGGAACCGCCGTGTCAGTCGGCCGCTTGCAGGAGTGGTCGCGGGAGTTTATGAAGCTTCTGTACCCGGACAAGAAGTGGAAAGGAAGCCAGAGGTGGTCGGAGCGCTTTCGGCGGCGATGGAATCTGAGCGTCCGCATGAAGACCCGGGTTGCCCAGAAAACCGCAGCGCGTGAGAATTACCCCGTTAAATTTGGCACATTGTTTTTCTTTAATTGTACTAACGCCCTCCGTCTGTGTCCGACGTCTCTTCCACCGCCGTGCAGATGTCGCTGAGCAGTGCAAGAGCTTCTGGCAGTTCGTGCGTGCCAAGCGTCGTGAGCGCGGCATCGACACCGCGTGGATCATCAACGCGGACCAGACGCCGCTCTGGCTGGAGATGCCCGCCACCACCACCGTGGAGGAAACGGGTGTTCGCTCGGTGCCTATCAGGAGCGCGGGGTATCAGAAGCAGAGAGTGACCGTGATGTTGGCGTGCACGGCGGACGGAAGGAAGCTGAAGCCGTGGGTGTTCTTCAAGCACAAAACCTTGCCGAGGGGCGATTTCCCTGCCGGTAAGTAAAGAGGTGCACGGCTCGGTCACTGCGTTCTTTTCAGAGTTCGAATTCTAACCACCCGTGCGTGTTTCATGCAGATGTGGCCATGGCTTGCCACGAGAACGGGTGGATGGACTCCCCTGGCGTCGTTCGCTGGCTTGAGGAGGGCGTGAAGCCGTTCCTGAAGCCTCGGTTCGGCAGACACGCCAAGAGCTCGATGCTGGTGCTGGATTCTTACCGCAGTCACCTCACTGAGGAGGTGAAGGAGAAGCTCCGCGAGATGAACTGCGTGCCGGCGATCATCCCGTCGGGCTGTACGGCGGAGGTACAGCCGCTCGATGTCTGCATCAACAAGAGCTTTAAGACGTCGGTCCGCTAGCAGTACCAGAGGTGGTTTGAGGCAGAGGGGCAAGAGCAGCTGACGGCAGCAGGTATGGCATGAGTACGGTATTCCCCCCCCCCCGAATTCTTTGTTGTTGCACTAACTGCTTTCCACCGTTCTCCCGTAATGTTTCAGGGAACCTGAAGAAGCCTTCACCAGAGGTCGTCCTGCGGTGGGTATCACAAGCCTGGAAGGCAGTGCCGACCGACCTCATCAAGCATGCCTTCCTCACCTGTGGCATCAGCAACCAGCTTGACGGCAATGAGGACGGACTCGCCATGGCGCACAGGCGGAGCCAGCTGACAGCTGAAGTGGATGTCGACGATGACATCATCGCTGATGGTTTTTTTGGCAACAACTGCCAGGAGCCCGAATCTGACGAGGAGGAGTAGGAGGGGTACTGTATGATCCATGTTAGGTAGAAGTACCCCGGCTAAACTTGTTGTTAGGAGATCTAGCTTAATTTGATGTTGTTGCTTAGAAAAAGTGACAGTTTAGTAAAATCTTTTGTAATGCCTCCAATGAAAGGTTAAGGGATGCGCTTATAATAAGGATAGAATTTTCAGGGGGTGCGCTTATAATCGAGTTCCGGCCATAAGCGCCATGCTCCAGATAGAGGCGCCGGCGCCTTTAATCGGACGACGCCTATATCTGGGGCCATACGGTACTTATACGCGAAAATGTGCAAACGGTAACGCGGTGCGTGCGAGCTAGCTAGTGCTACGCTGGCGCGAGGTTCGGGCTAGTCCCGGAGCGTAGGCCGACTCGGCTGCTCCAGAAGTGCGAGGTTTGGTGAAACAGTGCGCGCGAAGTTGGCGAAGCCCCGTTAGCAGTAACGGGCGAACAACGCCTGCTGCTGTACGTGATGTGGACGGTCGCGGTAAGGAATAGCGAGAAAATTCCTTATACTACCCCCGCCCCCCCCCCCTCCTCAAGAAGCCCTCTCCGCTACGCGAGTGCATATATATCGCGGAAACCCCGGATCCTCATGTACACTTGCAGGGTAAGGTGGTTTTCGATGTTGGCCAGGGGCACCCAGCTATCCTCAGTAAGCGTGCGGTCCTTCCAGCGAACGAGTGTCAGAATAGTGAACAAAGGAATGACTGAATTGGAAAGCAGGTGGGTACAAGTAGGAAACCCAAAAGTGTTGTACCCTATATTAACTACCCTACTACAGCCTACACAGACTATAACATATATGTTTGACACACCCCCATATGCAGAGTGGGGGAGAACAAGAGGTCACAAGACCGGTCAAGAAAGGCAAAGCAAGCTCAGGGTGGATCACGACGTCACCACGCATTCTGAGCACAAGCAAATGGCCACAAGGCCAGCTCACATGCAGAGTTATATAAAGGAGAACAAACAATACAGTGAACACAACCTAACAAGTGTAAGCATGCAGGTATATGTATAGAGATCACAGTACAAACTAAGTCAAGAAGTGAGCAAGTGAGGCCAAGTAGGCACAAGACCTAGCATAGTACAAAAGCACTGATGATCACAAGGCTGAAGTGCCTTGGTAAAGATATCATCAGTGTTGGCCTGAGTGGCCACGTAAGCAAGACGAAGCTGACCACGCTGCTGCAACTCTCGAGCAAGGAAGTAACGCAGAGCAATGTGATTCGTTCTGTGCTCCAGTCTGTGCTCCTGTCACAAGGCAAGCATGGCCTTGTTGTCGACGTACAGAACTGGAGGAGAACGAGGCGCCTCTCCCAAGTCGGTCAGCAGGTAGGTGATCCAGCGTAACTCCTGTGCAGCCATGGCCCCAGCGTAGATCTCAGCCTCACAAGTGGAGCTGAGAACAGAAGACGAGCGAGTAGACCGCCAAGAAACAGAGCCGGAGCCAAGGCTGAA